CTGTTTTACAAATGGTAATACACATGTTTCTATGCTATTCTGTCAAATCATCCCACCCTCGCCTTCTCCCACAGAGTCCAAAAGTCTGTTCTTTACTCACTTTAAGGATTCTTGGGGCTTTGCATCTTACCAAAATAAAGGATGAGTTGGCACTTAATGAATCATCTGGTGCTGTGTAAAAAGTCAAACTAGGAAAAGCAGGAGTGAATAGGAGAAGACCATTACTCTGCCCAGAGTGGTGCAGAGTCCTTTCATTAGCAGAAAATTTGAGGTTTCTGATTTGCACAGAAGAAGTGGACAGGTAGGGGGGAAAAAAAGTTTCCTTGATTCTCAGCTAGAGACTGCATAAAATTTTTCCAGGAGAAAGAGTAACTGCTTTCTTAAATTTTAGAGTCTATCCACAGGTGAGAATAATTTTTTGCTTTGGGTTGTGATACTGAGTTTGTAGCTAGTATATATGTGAAAAGATTCTGATGCTGGTAAATAAATGTGAAAAGACCCCGGTGTAGTATATATGTGTGTGTATATATACTATCTATATATATATACGTATATATATGTGTATATGTATATACACAAACACATATATGCATATTACATATACATATATATGTATATATGTGAAAAGACCCAGATGTAACCAGTATATATTAGAAAAGACCCCGGATGCTGAGAAAGATTGAAGGCAGGAGGAAAAGAAGATGACAGAGGACAAGATAGTTGGATGGCATCACCGACTTGATGGACATGAGTTTGACCAATCTCCAGGAGATGGTGAAGGACAGGAAGGCCTGGTACACTACAGTCCATGGGATCGCAAAGGATCAGACAAGACTGAATGAACAGCAACAATGGTATATGTGAATGATCAGGTGATTTGTATACTGAGTAAGACACTGGGAAAATTAGCCATTTTTTAAGCTCTTTATGGTGAGAGTTTTGAATGTGTACAGAAGTGGAGAATAGATTATAATAAATACCCATGTACTCATCACAAACTTCAATAATTGCAAGCATTTACTTATCTTGTTTCATCAGGACACACATGAGCATGCACACATACATACTTGTCACACCTACTCACCTTCCATGGAGAATTTTAAAGCAAATCTCAGGCAACTTGTTATTTTACCGAAATACTTTAGTGTATATTTCTAAGTTAAGGATTTTTTCCCATAGTAATCGATTACTTGTCCTCACTCACATTTCTGTGATTGGCTCAAAATATCTTTATATATTAATACATCAGTTGGTTCGTTCAGAATCTAAACAGGGTTTGCACATTTGCATCTGACTGATGTGTGTCTGTAGGTTGCTTTTTTATTCTCTTTCCTCATGTTGTTTCTTATATGAGTAGCTTTCTCAGAAGCAGATAACCTTTCCAGGCTACTTTCTTTCCTTTTATAATTTTACTTCTATGTAAAATTTTTAACTTTTTTCTAAAGTTCAAATATTTATATAACATTCATTCCTCCTTATAATAAAGAAAAAAGAACCTTATATGGGTAAATCTCTATTTAGTATTACAAATGTTTTAATACTAAAGAAACTGTAGTAACTTCCCAGTGTTTTAAAACATTGTCATAAATTGCATTAACCAATGAACACCTCCCATTTTTTAGTAATCAGAGAGATATCAGCATCAAATCAGCATGAGATAATCTGTACGATCACACTGAGATAAGATGTCAGCAAAAAGAAAAGAAATATAATATTTCGGTAGGACTTTATACACATGAATCTCCACTGAACTGTATGTAGACCCTCATCTCATAAAAGCTGCCATTTGAGAGCTCATTTACAAGTTGAACTAAAGAATGGTGCGTTGGCAAGAGCACCAGTTCTGACAGTTACTTTCTGGGAGAGTTAAAGCAAGACTTTTAATATCTCAGAGCCTCATTTGTAAAGTAGGGCTTTATTTAATATTCACTTTATTAACATTTATTGAACGCCTGTCTTCCCAGATGTCTCAGTGGTAAAGAATCCACGTGCCAATGCAGGAGGCATGGGTTCAATCCCTGGGTCAGGAAGATTCCCTGAAGGAGGAAATGGTGACCCCACTCCAGCATTCTTGCCTGGGAAATCCCATGGACAGAGGAGTCTGGTGGGCTACAGTCCATGGTATCACAAACAGATGGGCATGATTGAGCGTGCGTGCATGCATAATTGAATGCCTGCCATGTGTCAGATATATATAGGCACTGGCAGTATGGAGACAAACAAGAAATGTCCCTGTCCTCAAAGAGTTCAGTGAGGAAGACAATAAAATTACTGATTACAGTAATTAATGCTATAATTACTGGACACAGCTGAGAGGATCAGGGCATAGGATTCTTTAGTGCATCTTTAGATCAATACATGTGGGGGCAAGAGGGAATCTGTAATATTAGTACCATAGTTTGGATTCATGTAAATTAAGTTGTGTCCTTGCTTAAGTCACTTAACTATTTGGTGTACTTCAGTTTTCTCATCTGCAGAAATAATGTAGGAATAGAGTTTACTCCAAGTATGTTATGAGGGTTAAAGGAATAAGCATGTGTCACTGAACTCCCCTGAAACATCTCCAGGCACCCTGTTTATCAAGCAAAACTAAGTTTATTAGAATTCTCTGCAGTAAGAGGAAGCTCCTCCTGAACAGTCTCTGAAGGGGAAGTCAGGGGGAAGGGTATTTGTAGGATTTGAAAGTCTGGGCTCAAGTAGTTTAAGGTAGCTTTTTTAAGGTGGAGAACAGACAGGGATTTGGGAACGTTCCTGACCTGATACAAGTTTTATGGTTAGTATCTATAGCAGGGTGAGGTTCTCAAAGCTTGTCTTGATGATAAGTAAACTGTTGCTTGATAAGTTAACTCTTTGCCAAGGTGAGCAGGTTGTTTATCTGAGATAAATTAACATATGGGAATTTCCTGAAACAAACAATGAAGTTATTTATTGGTTTAAGGTCTTATCTTCCTTGGGCAAAGTTTTCTTGTCACAAATAAATCCTGTTGACACAGGTGGTCTCAGTTCTTAGATTCCATAGCTCTGTCAGGTTAGTGCAGATGGTTGCAGTTCTCCTTGTAAAGTACTTAATTCCTGGCACATAATGCATAAAATAAAAGCAATAGTTGTGGTTTTTGAATGTCCTAGACGGAGACAAATGGAAGCTTAACCGTCTTTATAACAGTGATTTTGTAGGGGAAAAAAAGTGTTTTGTAGGGTAAAAACAGTGATTGTATCTATAGGTATAAATGCCTAGAGTTATACAAAAGGCTTTCTATACCACATAAATCTGATTGTTCTTTAATTTGTGTTTCTAGCTACTCTAATAATAATTATTATTATTATTACCCTCTTTAACATGCATAGTTATTCCAAAGTCTTTGCATGAGTCATGTGGTTTCATTTTTTCCAAGGTGGCTAAGAGCTAAATTGAATGTATTTTTAAATACATGTGTTTATTTTTTTTTAATTGAAGTATAGTTGGTTTATATATTATATGCTACAGGATGCAACATAGTGATTAATAAGTTTTAGATGTTATACTCCATTTCTAGTTTTTATAAAGTATTGTCTATTTTTGTGCTGTGCCAATCCAGTCTCATCACTTCACGGCAAATAGAAGAGGAAAAAGTGGAATCAGTGACACATTTTATTTTCTTGGGCTCCAAAATCTCTGCAGACAACTGCAGCCACAAATTAAAAGATGCTTGCTGGTTGGTAGGAAAGCTATGACAAACCTAGACAGCATATTAAAAAGTAGTGACATCACTTTGCCAACAAAGGTCCATATAATCCAAGCTATTGTTTTTCCAGTAGTCATGTCTGGATGTGAGAGTTGGACCAAAAAGAAAGCTGAGCACTGAAGAATTGATGCTTTTGCATTGTGGTGCTGGAGAAGACTCTTAAGAGTCCCTTGGACTGGTGCTGAAGCTGAAGCTCCAATACTTTGGCCACCTGACGCACAGAACCAACTCATTGGAAAAGACCCTTGATGCTGGGAAAGATTGAAGGCAAAAGAAGAAGGTGACAGGAGAGGAGGAGATGGTTAGATAGCATCACCAACATGTGTGTGTGTGTGTGTGTGTATGTACATACTTATGTTTATATATATTTCTATATGCCTCATTTTTTCCTTCCAGTTTTATTGAGATATAGTTGATATCCAGTACTGTTTAAGTTTAAGGTATACAGCATAATGATTTTCCTTAAATTCATGAAATGTTTATCACATTATTTAGTGAACATCTATCATTTCACATAGACACAAAATTAAGGAAATAGAAAAAAATGTTTTCCTTGTGATAAAATCTTTCTGGATTTACTCTCTTAAAAGATTTAATATATAACATGCAGCAATGTTAATTGTGTTTAAGTTGTATACTATATTCCCTAGTACAATACTTATTATCTTATACCTGAGAATTTGTACCTTTTGACTGCCTTCATCTAGTTCCCCCTGCCTTCCCTTGTAACCACAAAGCTGCTCTCTTTTTTCTATGAGTTGTTTGCTTTTAAAGTGTAATTTGTCTGCGGTTAACACTATGTTAGTACCTGTTACACAACATAGTGATTTGATATTTCCATACCAGTCAAGATGATCACCACAATAACTCCAGTTACGATCTGTCACCATTCAGATATTACATAGTTATTTTTTAAATTTAATTTGAAGTATAGTTAGTTTACAGTGTTGTATTTCTACTGTACAGCAAAGTGATTGTCATATATATGTCATATATCATATATGTATATGTATATACATACACACACATATATGGGCTTCCCTTGTGGCTCAGCTGGTAAAGAATCTGCCTGCAATGCAGGAGACCTGGGTTCGATCCCTGGGTTAGGAGGATCCCCTGGAGAAGGGAAAGGCTACCCACTCCAGTATTCTGGCCTAGAAAATTCCATGGACTGTATAGTCCATGGGGTTGCAAAGAGTCGAACACAACTGAGCAACTTTCACTTCACTTCACTTCGTATATATATTATATGTATGTGTGTGTGTATATATATATAATATGGATGTGGTGGTGTATGTGCTCGGTCATGTCCCAGTCTTTGCAGCCCCATGGACTGGAGCCCACCAGGCTCTTCTGTCCATGGTATTTTCCAGGCAGAATACTGGAGCAGGTTGCCATTTCCTGCTCCAGGGGATCTTCACAACCCAGGGATCAAACCCACATCTCCTGGATTGGCAGGTGGGTTCTTTACCACTAGCACCATCTGGGAAGCCCATACGCACATATATTCTTTTTTATATTCTTTTCCATTGTGGTTTATCACAGGATATTGAATATACTTCCCTGTGCTATACACTAGGGCCTTATGGTTTATCCATTCTACATACAATCGTTTGCATCTACTAACCCCAAATTCCCAGTTCATCCCACCTTCCCACCCCACACTGTACATTCCATAACCGTGACTCGTTTGTTTTGTAATTGGAATTTTCTACTTCTTAATCTCTCTCACCTACCCTCCCCTTCCCTAACCCACTCCCCTCTGGCGACAACCTGTTGTCTGTAGATATGAGTCTATTTCTATATAGTTCTGTTTGTTCATTTGCTTTGATATTTAGACTCCAAATATAAGTGAAATCATTCAGCATTTGTCTTACTCTGTCTGACTTATTTCACCTAGCATAATACCTTGCAATCCATGTTGTTGCAAATGGCAAAATTTCATTCTTTTTTTAGCTAAGTAATATTCCTCTGTGTGTGTGTGTGTGTGATATCTTCTGTTTCCATTCATCTATTGACAAGCAGTTAGGTTGCTTTCATATCTTGGCTATTGTCAATAATGCTGCAGTGAATACAGGGGTGTTTATATCTCTTTAAGTAAGTGTTTTTGTTTCCTTCAGATAAATACCCAAGTGTGGAATTGCTGTATCATATGGAAGTTACATTTTTAATTTTTAAGGAACATTCGTCTGTTTTCCATAGTGGCTGCACCAGTTTATATCCCACCAAAGTGCACAGAAGTTCCCCTTCCACCACATCCTCACCAGCATTTGTTATTTGTGTTATTTGTGACAGGTGTGAGGTAGTACCTCATTGTGGTTTTCTTTGCATTTCTCTGAGGATTGGTGATATTGATCATCATCTTTTCATGTCCCTTTTGACTCTCTGTATATCTTCTCTGGAAACACGTCTATTCAGATGCTCTGCCCACTTTCGGTCGGGTTGTTTGGGAAGGGTTTCGATGTTGCTATATGAGCTCTTTGTGTGTTTTTCAATATTAACCCCTTACTGGATACATCATATGCAGATATCTTCTCCCATTCAGTAGGTGACCGTTTCATTTTGTTGATAGTTTCCTTTGCTCTGAAAAAGCCTTTCCATTTGATGTAGTGCCATTCATGTATTTTTGTTTCCTTTACCTAAGGAGACATATCTAAGAACTGCTACTAAGATCAGTGTTAAAGAGCCTTCTTTCTTTGTTTTCTTCTAGAATTTTTATGGCTACAGGTCTTACATTTAAGTTTTTAATCTATTTTGAATTAATTTTTGTACATGATTTGAGAGAGTAGTCCACTTGAATTCATTTGCATGTAACTGTTCAATTTTCGCAATACCATTTATTGAAGTCTGTCTTTTCCTCAGTGTATATTCTTGCCTCCTTTGTTGGAGGTTAATTATCCATTTAAGTGTGGGTTCATTTCCGGATTCTATTCTATTCCCTTTGAGCTATGTGTCTGTTTTTGTGCCAGTACCATACTGTTTTGATTACCGTACCTTTGTAATATTTGGAATTAGGAAGGATGCTGCCTCCAACTTTGTTGTTCTTTCTCAGGACTCTTTTGGCTACTCAGGGATTTTAGTTTTTTCATACAAATTTTACAATTATATTTTCTAGTTCTGTGAAAAATGCCACGGATATTTTGGTAAGGTTCCATGTGCTTTATTTTTTAATTCATTCATTCATTTTCCTTTTGGCTGCATTCTGGTCTTCATTGCTTTGTGTGGGCTTTCTCTAGTTGCGGCATGTGGGAGCTGCTCTCCAGTTGCAGGGCATGGGGCTCTCATTGCGGGGGCTCCTCCTGTTGTGAAGCACAGGCTCCTCCTGTTGTGAAGCACAGGCTTTAGGTGCGCAGGCTCAATAGTTGCAGCTCGTGGGCCCTGGAGCTCACTGGCTTTAGTAGCTGTGGCGTGAGGGCTCAGCAGCTGTGGCTCATGGGCTTAGTTGCTCCACAGCATGTGAAATCTGCCAGGAAGAGGGATCAAACCCATGTCCTCTCCATTGGCAGGCAGATTCTTAAATGCTGTACTACAAGGAAAGTCCTCCCATATGCTTTAAATTTAAAAAGTATACATATAAATAACTTTGGAGTCAAAGAAGAAAGTGGAAATGAGAAAATATCTTGAATAATAATGAAAATAATTGAATTATAATGAAAAATTTTCAATTTTTGATTACACATAATTGTAATTTTTATTGCAAATTGCACATAAAAATTTATGGGATAAGTTAAACTGTGATATAAGGAAACATTAGTTGTGAATACATATTAGAAAATAAAAGACCAAAAATCAAAAGATTAGTAATTAGTGGAAGGAAAGTACACAGAGACAATGAACACCTCCAAAGTTGGTTTTAAGATTTAAAAAAACTGACACAACTCTGGCAAGAGTAATCATTAAAAAAATAAAATAAAACATAGGAATATAAAAGGGGACATCACTATAGATCCTACAGAAATTAGAAAGGTAGTAAGAATAGCATGAACTGCTTTATGCCAATACCTTTGAACATTTATATAAAATGGAAATTTTTCTCAAAGAAATGCAATATGCCAAAATTGCCTCAAGAAGAAAAATAAAACACAAATAATCATATAACTGTTATATTGAATCTGCAATTAATCCTCCTATTAATTCCCTACATCTCAACAAAAGTACTTTGTGAATATTAAATATAATTGTTACCCACTGTCTTGTTGGTTTACAAGTAGAGTTTGAGGAGAAAGGTTTCAAAGCTATTAATAGTTCCTAAATTCAGGATTTCATAATGTAGTCATTGAAACACATATGTGAGACATATGGAAGAGTGAAGAGTTAGATAATGACATACCGGAGGAGACAAAGAAAGTGTCCACATAAACACACAGTGCTTTACCATGAACTGTGCCCTAGACTTTGACTTCTGTCCCATTCTTCCCCTTAGCTATAGTCTTCAGTTGTTTCTAAATGTGGTCAGTAGAACGGTTTGTTTTCGTGGAGGAAAGGACTGTTTAAGAAACAATCTGCTATGTGAAATGTGTGCTCTGGCTAACCTGTGACCAAAGGAACTAAAAGTCCCCAAACCTCCCTGATGATCTGTGCTTGGCCAATGATACTACTGGCTACATGCATGGGAATTTATTAGTTGATGTATTTATCTCAGTGGATTGCCTCATTAAGTTTGCAGGTGTTCTGTCAGTGAAAGACTTTTTTTTTTTTAATTGTACTGTTTTTATTAGAATTTTCCAATGCACAATCCAGAATAAGAGAGTTAACACATTTCAGCACAGAAGAAAGTAGTGAGTATTTAAACCTTATGGGAGGAAAAGCTTTTAACTTGTACTCAGACAGTTATTATTGAACATGTTGGATTTTAGAAAAATAGAGAAAGTGTGCAAACTCCAACCTAAAATTCAACACATTGCTTTCCATTCAGTCAGCATGGGATTTGGTGTGCATCAGCTAATCAGGTTGAACTAAATGCACATGTATTCTGAGTGAGCTGCCTTCTCAGGAAAGAATCCAGTCTTCTAATTCTGCTACAACTCTTTCAAGAAAAAGAGTTGATGGTGGTTTTGCATTGAACAAAATATACTCCAATAATGTGTTTCAAGGGAAAGATAAAACAGTTCCAGATCCATTTGATTATAACAACAGACATCACTGGTGCTCTGGTGACTTCAGACCATTTCCAATTTTAGTAGACAGTATAACTGTGCAGGTAAACCTCTATGAATAAATGCATAAGGGACAGATTTTTAAATCATAAAGAAAAAAATGTTAGTGCTGTATTTCCACTTTAATTCAAAAAGACAGAAACTAAAATTGAAGGCCAAAGAGGGTTCATTTTTAATGTAGAGGATGTTGGCCATCTCTCTAGTATATAAACAATGTCTTTCAAGGCTCCACATTTACATTCGTGTTACCAGCTTATACAACATTTGGGAAGTCATTCCTTCACAGCGGGTTGTCCTGTACTGAGGAATGATATTTAGTAGTTTTGAGGGTCGACATTTACAGTGTAAGAACTGAAAACTTTTGCAAGGTAAATGGTTTTCTTGGATAACTTTTCTCTTATTAATAGCAAATAGTTATTGCTCTTGAAAATAAACAAATTTTAATTTTTTAAATATGCTTCATATTTTAGATCTCTAGCACTGTTTTAATATCCAGTTTTGTTAATGATATTACTGGTAATGTGTTTTCATTCTAATAAATTGGTTGCAGATGCTCAGAGAAGAAAGGATTTCATTAAAATTGCAGCTGTTAATAGCATACCTCCTACCTTTAAGATTAATGAAACAATAGTAAATTCAACCAAAATCTCCTTACTGGTCTATTATGAAAATTAAAACTTTATATCTCTTGGAGTTTTGTTTAGTTAAGGAAATAAAGCAATGTTACAGAGCTTCTGAAGGTCATAGTAGCCTAGTGGAGTTATAGCAAGTATACATTTATGTCCTGATTTTTAGATTCTAAACTGTCTACAAGATGCACATGCATGAGAAGGAAAGAATAGCAGTTTGTGGGGGATAAAATAGAAATGCCATCTTGGAAAAATAAGAAACAGACAATCAAATCTAATTTTTCCAAAAACAGTGTGTATTTGTCTCTGATCAAGTAAGATATATATATAAGTTCAACAAAACTTTGTTGTTTAGTCAATAAGTCATAAAAAAAAATAATAACTCTCTTGTGACCCCATGGACTGTCGCCCACCAGGCTCCTTTGGCCATGAGATTTTCCAAGCAAGAATACTGGAGCAGGTTGCCACTTCCTTCTCCAGGGGATCTTTCTGACCCAGGGATCGAAGCTGCGTCTCCTACATTTACAGACAGATTCTTTACCACTGAGCCATCTGGGAAGCAAAACTTTATTGAACATTTATAACTGGACGTTTTGACACTTAACCTCAATTCTCAGAGCAATAAGCTAATTCAGCGTGCGTTGGGGATGATATAGATTGTTAGTATCAAAACAGTAGTCTACACCCAAGGTGCAAGCAGTAATACTTTAGAATAGTTCAGCCATTCTACTTTCACTCTAGGGACTTAATTGTTATCTTAAAAGCATAATGATTTCAGTGCTTTATATCTATTTACAAACTTCCTTTTTATTCTTTCCTTTTGTCTAGCTCTGGTTTCCAG